GGGGTGAAAATTGCTGGAAGAAACATTAACAATCTCAGATATGCAGATGACACCACTTTGATGGCGAGCGAGGAGGAGCTGAGGAGCCTTCTAATCAAGGTGAAAGAAGAAAGCACAAAAGCCAGGTTGCAGTTAAACATAAAAAAACCAAGATTATGGCAACAAGAATGATTGACAACTGGAAAATAGAGGGAGAAACCGTGGAGGCCGTGACAGACTTTGTATTTCTAGGTGCAAAGATTACTGCAGATGCAGACCGTAGCCAGGAAATCAGAAGACGCTTACTTCTTGGGAGGAGAGCAATGTCCAGTCTCGATAAAATAGTGAAGAGTAGAGACATCAGACTGGCAACAAAGATCCGCCTAGTCAAAGCCATGGTATTCCCTGTAGTAACCTACGGATGTGAGAGCTGGACCTTAGGGAAGGCTGAGCGAAGGAAGATCGATGCTTTTGAGCTGTGGTGTTGGAGGAAAGTTCTGAGAGTGCCTTGGACTGCGAGAAGATCCAACCAGTCCATTCTTCAGGAAATAAAGCCCGACTGCTCACTGGAGGGAAGGATATTAGAGGCAAAGATGAAGTATTTTGGAAACATAATGAGAAGACAGCAAAGCTAGAGAAGACAATTATGCTGGGGAAAGTGGAAGGCAAAAGGAAGAGGGGCCGACCAAGGGCAAGATGGATGGATGGCATCCTTGAAGTGACTGGACTGACCTTGAGGGAGCTGGGGATGGTAACGGCCGACAGGGAGCTCTGGCGTGGGCTGGTCCATGAGGTCACGAAGAGTCGGAGACGACTGAACGAATGAACAACAACTACTGTGCATGATTCCATGGACAAGAATACTAAAAGAGAAAGGAGTTAATGATGGATGGAAGTTTCTTAAAAGTGAGATACTGAAGGCATGTCTCTTTTAAAGCTTAAAAGTTCTTTGGACATCCATTCTGGTTGTTTCACACTTCTCATTTTTTTCTCCTTGCTGACACTGTTTGGAATTGTGCCTTCAGTATCTCAAACAACCAGATTGGATGTCCAAAGAACTTTTAACTGAGTGAAGCTTTAAAAGAGACACGCACAAGAAATGGAAAAGGGGGGGGGATCATCAAAGAGGAATTCAAACATATAACCAACATATGTAGAAAAAAGGTTTGAAAGGGCTTAGACTTGACAGAGAAATTAAAAACAATGGTTATTTGGTTATGCCAGTAGAAAAAGGAAGAAAAAGGAAATGGTAAAGCCTCTACAAGGAGAAGGGGTTGAAATGCTAACAAGGCATAGGGAAAAGGCAAAGCAGTCCAACACCATCTTTGATCACTCTTCTCCCGAAAGGATATTAGTGTTCAACCTGAACAATATGGAGCAAATGAGGCAATAGGGGAAATGCAACCCAAATAGGTAAATAAGTAGTCCAGGAATACCTGGCAGTGGCTACTCTAAATGAATTCAACTCTCCAGGGCCAGATGAACTTCATCAAAGAGTATTGAAGGAACTAGCAGAATTAATTTCAGAACCACTGGCAATAATATTTGAGAATTATTGGAGAACAGCAGAAGTCCCAGCACACTGGAGGAGGACAAATGTTGTCAGACTGACTGACCAGTCAGTCTGATAACAATTCCTAAGAATATAATCATAGGCACCCTTTTCCAGTTATGTTAAAGATTTTAGGCTAAAATGAATAGGTTAAATATCCTTGATGACTTAGAACCAAAAAGACCCTCTCCATTAACAATTATTTAGATCTGTGGTAGATGTCAACAAATAAATACCGAAATGAAAAATGTGACAACAACACTAGATATCTTTTAAGGAGATGGCTAAGAATTACGTATAGTAGGTGCGGTTTAATAACCTTTTTCAGGAGCGGAGTCTGCAGAACAGAGATAAACACCAGCAAAAGATGAAGCTCTGGACATTTTCTGGCAACAAACTGCTAGATTTCTTTGATTTTTTTCTAAAGAGTTCAAATTTGACCTTCTAACAAAAACATGTAACATGCCACTAAGAGCACTTCCAGACACCATTTAAACCCACTTTGGAGCGGGTTAAATAAACCTGCTCTGAAGCAAGTTTAAGTATCCACAGCAAACCCTGCATGCCCTCCCAGTAACTTCCAGTAGGACATGGGGACACCAAGAACCTCCTCCCCTGAAAAAACCCTGGAAATCAAAGTAAACCTATCAGCCCACCATGATGCCTCTTCTGCCGGTCTCCTGGAGCATACCAATAATGGAGTTATTTCCCCTGCCTCCTGGCACATCATTGGCATGCTCCAGGAGACCTACAGAGATGCATTATGGTGGCCTGGTAAGTTTACTCTGATTTTTTAGGGCTGGGGGGGAGGGGTTGGGGGTTGCCCTCTTCGCATCTTCAGGCTCATCGAAGAAGAGATTTGGGCTATGGGATCTGACTCCCACAAGGTCGATACCTTTCAGGAAGGCCTGGGTGTAATGAGATATCTAAATAATTTGCAACAAAGCAAGGTTTTCCAGCTTTGTCATGAATTACTTCACTTTTACCGGCGCCATCATTTGGACACCTCTGGTAAAAGTGCGACAGGTCCCACAGTATGGGGCCTGTTTGGATGAGCCCTCAATCTCGATACCAAAAGACAAAAAGGTGGCCAATGTAACTTCAGTTTTTAAACAGGTAATTTTTTTTCATAGGAGAATTATACTGAGAAGACAGGAAATACCATGCCAGCTTGCTTAACTGTCAGGATAAATTCAGAGAGAAAAATAAATAAATACAAAAAATATCACATATACAAAATGACAGATTTTGCTAAAGTAGAACCAGCATGGATTCTGCAAAGCCAAGCCCTGATTCTAAAATTTTATGGGTATGTCTACAATGAGGAATGATGACACTGGCATTGCTTAATTGAAGTTTCAAAAGGCTTTTTGTGAAAAGGCTTGTCTAGAACAGGGCTTTCTAAACTTTTCCCCCTTGCAATCCCTTTTCATTGAGAATTTTTTATATGAACCCAGATATTTAGGTTTCTTAAATAGATATAAAATCAAACATTTGCTGAAAATAAATCAGCATTTGCAAGGTTTGTTAAACAGGTTGATTTTCCTTTTTGTGAAGTATAGTTGAAGTGTTATCTGCAGAGTCTACTGTAAACATTGCATGCTGTTGCTAATAGATTTTATAAATGGGTGGCATTCAGAAACCCTTTACTGTGCCCAAATTTTTCATGACCTCAACACTGAGCTAATTTGGGGTCGAGACCCATAGTTTAAGAAGCAGTGGAGTAGATGACCTACTTGTCTTATGAAAAAGTTACATTATCAGTACATATGCTGTGTCACTATGCCTCTTTATCCCAAAACAATATATTCGTTTCTTTAAAACATTGGTGTGCATGATGGATATGGACAGTGTGGCCACCTCCAGATTATTACTGCTCTAGACTGGCTGCAGATTAAGCAGGAAATGTAGATAAGCCCAAAGTCTGAGACTGGAGGAACCTAGCCAAGTTCTCAGTGCTATGTAAAAGCTCCATGTCACAAATCTGTTGATAGCTGCTGTTCTTAATGTAGCACTCTAATCTTTTAGACATCATTGATTGACTGATGAAGCTTATGTAGTTCAAAAAGCTTTCGTGGTTTCTCCCTCATTGTGAAAAGCTTTCCCCCTGCATCACATTTAACAATATTGATCTTAATTAAAGAACATACCATCTAATATTTCACTGAAACTGGGACAGATATGTCCAAGCAACATCAAATGGCAAACTACAATGTGAAAACCACATAAGTAAAGACAGTAACAATTTAGGTTTTGATTCTATATGGAATAGCAAAATTTCATTCATTTTCTTTTCTCCTCACTGCTGAATGATCTGAGCTCCCATTTACACTGGCATATATAATGCAGCTTCAAACTGCATTAGATGGTCAGTGTATACTCATATAATGCAGTTTCAAATTGCATTATACAGCAGTGGAGATGAGGCCCCAGTTAACTTTTGCACTTTGATTTCAGTTTGTATCAATGGAAGTGAGTTTTAAAAGCAGGTGAAAAAGTGGAATGACAGAAGATGAATTGGTATTTGCCAGATTGGGACAGGTGGAGTATATGGAAGAAACTGAAATATTATGATCCAGACACCACTTAAAAGAGGATCCTTAACTATTTTCTTGATACTCCTTCCAAATATAAGTTTGATCTTCTGATCATCCAATACATTCTTACCTTTTACTGTCCCACTCCTTCTAAAATGCTTTGTGCCCAAGCTGGACTTTTGCATTACTAAATAACATATTCAAGTGCAACAGAAATGACCAGACATAATGTATTTACAGTGAAGTCTTTTACTACTAAATATAAGTTTTAGATTTGCACAAATGTACAAATGTAAAATTTTCTCCCCCACCCCCAGAAATGAATAGACACTGGTCTTCCCATTATGCAGCTGTCTCAAGAAAACTACAAATTGCGAATCATGTCCACCCATCTCTGAAGAGGCCTATTGGGCAATTTCTGGTCACAAGTGGGAAATGGTCAGGTGGATTCTTTTGAAAGAAGTTCTGCACCTGAAAACAATTTCCTCAAGTAGAGGATGACAGGTATGGTTTAAAGTGGAAATACAAATAAAATACACTGACAAGTGGCATGAATCCCCACTGTCCTGAACCTTCCTAGAGCAATAGAAACTTTGCAAAGCCTTTCAGCAAATAAAATAAAAAATCCAATGACAACCCTGCCCTTTTCCACCTTGATGATGAAAGTCAGGATAATACAGACAACACTGAGGACAATTTCTGAACAGGCAAGTCTATGTGTATCTGTTCAGGAATCCTATTAAATGGAATAGTATCTGCATCTAGGTTAGTGTTTATAGGAATGCAGCCTAAACTATTAACAAACTGCAGTATACATTAAAACACTTGAATATACCTAGTCATTTCTTATTTTATCCCCTTAGCTGAAACATTACAGTTATTTTGGGGAACAAGCAATTGTACAAATAAGAAAGAAATGGCGTAAGTCTTACCTATGATAAAAAGAATTTCCACTGCAATGTCACTGACAGTTGTGCTTCGAGTTGTAGATAGATCATCATTGCCAATAAAGCAAACATTGTAAGGTACAGTCACAGCAACATAAAACGTTGCCAGTAAAATAAGCCAGTCCCAGCCAGCTTTAAAAGTGCTAAAATGCAAAAGTATGAATTTGGACTTTTTTGCATCTGAAACTTTATATTCTGGAAATGCTGGTTTATCTACAAAAACATTCTGAAAGAGAAAAAGAAAAAAGAAAATCAATATAACATAGGATGATTCTTGTCTGACAACTAAAAGAAACCCCATTAGCAGTTTAGCATTTTGTAAAAGCTTTTCTTCCACCAAAGCCTACATTTTCTAACTTTGTGACCCAATATTGTTCCTTTAATCCTTCTTTTATGGTTCAGGATAATCATACTTTGTATTAGTGTGCTATAGAGTTATTTTTATATTCAGACTCAGACAATGGAAATCACTTCTGCCAGAAAAGGAATGGTGAAAATCCTCCACACTAAGTGAAGAGGTTAAAATGGTCATGGTCAACAAAACAGCTGTAATCCATATTGTAAATCCCAAGGAAAGTGATGCACTATTGCTTCTGTTAGTATCTACATAGATCAGCATTTTCTGTGAAGCTTTAGCCATTTCTGAAGCATCTATTGCAGAAAGACCCTTTAACATATCTAATTTTCACTTTATAACTCTGAATTTACTTGATCTAAATAAGTACAGTGCTTCAAAGTAAATTAATCCAGCACTCAGTAATGTTTTGCTCTCCAATTTTATAGTCACAAAAGATTTCAAGTACCTTTAAATTTTAACTGTTTTAGATGTCTTATGTCTGAGCAAAAGATGATCAAAGTTAAGCAGCTTATAGATTTAAGAGATCTATACAACAGTTCATATCGATATAAATAAAAATTGGGATTTCAAAACAACAACGTGACCCCAAACAAGCTCCTGAAACAATAAACCCTTTGCTTGAGGAAAGGCTGGGCAATGCATTAAAAAGATAATCCTATATATGTCAGCTCTACCCTTTATGAAAATGGAGGAGGAGGAGAAGGGAAGGAAGGATCCCACTGAAAGGGATATCATTATCTACCTTATACCTGTTTCATTCCCCTGGGGAGATCTCACTGTTGTTAATAGGGGCTTCCTTTAGAAAGCATGCCCATGTTAGTGACAAATAATGTTTAGACAATTATTTATCTCCATACCTATTTGTAATGTCAGTAGAAAGAGTAGTAAACAGACAACACTGTTAACGAATTGTTTTAACATATATAGTTTAGCCATCAGAGATTGACTTGCAAACATTCTGTAAAAGCTTATACAATAAACACAGGAAGCTATGTCTAACACTGATAGATGCTACAGTAACTGGGCATTATCAAATCTGCTTTAAGAAATTTCTGGAATGATAATGGCAGTGGTGGTAAACAGATCTACAAAGGCTGGCAACCACATGAAAAAAACCCACAATTTATCTGGAATTTTTTCTTGTGGTGTGTGTGAAAAGCCAGGGCCACAGGATATGACTATTGTATTTTGTCATTGACTTGTCATACACTTTAATTCACTAACAATGGAAACAATGGTAGCAGAATGTTTGCTTTGTATATGTTGCTGACTTTCTATATTGCATTATTGAAAAGAACGTTCAGACAAGAGGACACATCAAATAAAATTACAAATGATTAGGAATACCCATTACAGTAATTCTTCTCAGTTTAAAAATACAGTGTAAAGATAGCAACATCAAAGGATCTTGATGCTCTGTACCTACATTATTAATTTTTAATTTGTTCTTTTCTCTTCTTTGTAGATGTCCAGAGATATGATAAAGGACAGCTCTGCTCCGTCTGCGTGCTGAATCAAAATGTGATCCTGCTCTACCTCGTCCTTTGAATTTTTCTGAGATATAAAGAAGAGATACCATGAAACAATACAGACAACACCCTGACCTCTCAAAAAATGCTCCAATGATATTTCAGATTGCACCATGTTGGTGTTCACACTCCAATTTTAATATATTTTGTTTCATTTTATTTTAAAATATAGAAGAAAATAGACATTTCTTTTATATTTAGAAGGCACTGTTATTAGCATAAAAGACAGAATCAACATGGTTATGGTAGTGATGTATCCTGAAACCAGGAAATGAGAGCTGTTCTTGGGTCATGAAGTTCACCAAGCAATCTTGGACCACTCATTCGTTTATCTTATCACCAACTGCATAGGGTTTTTAGGACAAAATTCAGTACTCTGTATCTTTATAGGCCAAAAGGAGAACAATGGTAAAGAAAAGATACAGATCTTTCTTCTTCAGCATCCTAATTACCACCATTGCTCTAGCCATGAATTGGAGGGGTGAAGATACTTATGAGCAATAACACCATCACAGACACAGTACTAAAGGTTCATGTGAAATCTGAAATAGCTACAATCACCAAAACAAAAGCCCTAATAATACCATGCACACCATCTGTGGTGCCTCATCTTCCTTCTTTATATTCCCGTTTCCACCTACAATGGGACAAAAGTAATCCGAATTATTATTCTTTTATCTTGAAAGCAAGTACCTTGTAGTGGGGCGAATACTGTGATATAAATAAGTGTAGGAGAGTTTGTGGTCCCAGAAAGGTTAGCCACTCTCTGCTACTGCATGGTGCATCATTGCGCAGGGCAGAAATACTTTCTACCATCCAACATTTAGATGGTGCAGACAATGGATTCTCATCAATACTGATAGAAACACCTAGTGCTTTCCCAAGTGAACTGGGCCCCTACTGTAGTTAGAGCAGGGAAATATTTCTACGGGAAATAGTCCTTCGATGCAGCTTCTTTTAATACCTGTGTGTGTGAATTACCATCCTGTATGTCTGTCTTCTTCCAAAATATGAGTACAAACGTTGTGCCATGATCTGGCCTGTCTAATTTACTGCCCATGGTTCCACCTCTCACATCACAATCATTGTGCCATGACCTGACTGATTTACTGCTCATGGTTCCCAACTCTCACATCTCATAAAGTAGATAATTACCATAACTTGGCTTTTGCTCTCACGATATAATAATTACAGGCTAAACTGTGTGGCAGGACTAGATAAATTACGGTGCAACATCCATCTAATAGTAAGATTTAGTTCTGAACATTGTGATAAATGAATAAAAAGGTATTTTGAGCTTTTCAGACTTGGGCTGTCGGTCAAACAAGGCTAATTAAAAACAATGACAAATATATAGATGAGGTGAAGAGAACCCAATTAGCACTACCAATAAACAATAGATTAAAACGTGTATGCTGAAGTATGTGCAAAATAAATAGAAAAGTGATATGTATGCGATTGATGTGAAGACGTAGATACAAAGCAAATCCATTAATGAGGGCCACCCACCTCTGTCTAAATGCTTCTCTGTATGTTCCATTCAAAATGCAAAGTTGGCTAAGGAAGCTTCTAACATCACCGTGAGGGCCCCAGATGGCTTTTCTACCATCATGTTATTTACTTGAATATATTGACTTTTATTTTTACAAGATGTTCTTTCCCAGAAGTATGGATATCCTAACCTTCAGCTATTATATGCCACTATTAAGTTCCCAAGTTCCCACATGGGAAAAAGTTGGATGCACTTGCTTTTCCCGTATTTACACATTTTATTAACTTCCAAAAATACTCATAGATTTGGAGAGACCAAAATATATCAATATGAAACCCAATCAAAGCCTGTCTGCCATCTCCTTAACAGAAATCTCAGCTTAACCAAGCCATGAAAGAAAACCCCAAGTCTTCCCTTTCAAGGATTCAGTAATGAATGGTTTAATGATTTTGTGTGATTTTTGGTGCATTACTTCAGTCATATTTGGATAATGTTATAAATGAACAAGGAAGTCCTTACTATTTATGCAGTCATTTGCAATATTTATTATGCTACTTCAAGTAATATAAAATATCTGAAAATGATCTGTACAATCCCACAAAGAAACAAAACATTAATAATTCTGGTATACTGATTTATCAGTAGTTGGCAGTATGCACACGCACACCTGCACACATGTGGTAAAGCATTTAGATAAGAACAATATGTTATTGGAAATCACATGAAGGAAATGTTGTTGAGAGAACCAGCATGATGTATCTGAGGGTGAATTGTGATTCTGGAGTTCAGTGTTTGAATTGCTTTTCAGTCACCCATAGGTGACCCTGAGAAAGCCACACTCCCATAGCCTTAGGGCAAAGAAAAGGCAAATCTCCTCTGAATAAATATTGCCAAGAAAACCTTGTGATAGCCTGACCTTTGAGTCGCCATAAGTCAGAAGAAATTTGAAGGCACACAACAACATTGCTATATCCTGAAAGCACCTGTTCTTTTGATATGTACCAATTTCATATCAACCATAGAAGTTAAACTTGATTAACTGGAATTAAGTCTAGCCTTCTTCTATATGTAAAACTGATTAAATCTGAAAAGGACCATGTTAGCTATGGATGATTATACTTCCTATTGCAGTGGTTCTCAACCTTGGATCCCCAGATGTTTTGGCCTTCAACTCCCAGAAATCCTAACAGCTGGTAAACTTGCTGGGATTTCTGAGAGTTGTAGGCCAAAACACCTGGGGACTCCACAGGTTGAGAACTGTGCACTACTCAGACCATTGAAGGTTATTAGATGTTCACTATGTATTGCATTCTGTGGTTGTTTTATATTTTTGAAATGTTTTTATGGATTTTGTTGTTATATTTTAATTATGTTGAACCTTAGGCTTGCCCCCATGTAAGCTGTCCGGAGTCCCTTTGGGAAGATGGAGGCAGGGTACAAAAATAATTATTATTATGACCATTGTCTTATTGGGAAACAGGGATAACCTATGGTCTGAAGAGTGAGAAAGACTCACCAATAAATGTTGGGAAGAAATGCCTCCTAGCTTGGATTATGACGTTGTGGCTATAAATAACAGGAAATCAAAGATTTAAACATTAAAAATGCATATTTTTAAAGGTGGGGGATGGAGTTAAATCATCTTCATATCTATTGAGATGTATTTTCTTTCCAAAAATAATCCAGTTGAAAAGCAGAATAGCTAACAGGTACTGAAAGAACAGGGAGAAGCAGCCATAATTACTGAAATGGTTTGTAAGATAGCACAATACTCCCAGTGACAAGGTATAAAAAGACCAGGGATAAGGTTTGCATTTCTATTGCTATTCATGCATACAGCCTGCACATTCATACTGTAAATTTCTATTTCTAGACATATCATCAATGGACCTGATGAATATCCTGACGTCCACGAAGACTTATGCTACCAGCGTCTTTCTCTCATTTAGTTTCAAAAATGTGGCAAAAAGCCTTTACATATAATTATAAAGCACTTACTAGCAAATTTTATGTCTGGAAAGGCATCTCTTTTGTGAATTTACATTTCATGATATATATATATGGCAGGAGGTTGGACTTGTTGGTCTTTATGGTCCATTCCAGCTCTAAGATTGTATAATGCTATGATCCCATTTTCAAAAATCACTATCAAGTACATACTATTGTAAAATTAGCCTAGAAGTGAACCCTCATTTTTCAAGTCTCTCCTACAATTCCTTTTGATATTCTGTCTCATATTTATATCAGTTTCAAAGTTTCCTGACACATTGCCTGGTTTCCTGGACATTTCCTTTTGGAATTGCAGAGACAAGCTTCCTTCTACTCAGTTCTGTGGCATTATCCTCTTGTTTAATCACATCTGCCTATGAGATTTCAGAAATGGTTCTTCAGCTGCTGTCTGTATATTTATGGCTTTGGAGAAAGATTTTTAAAGCTATCTTTTCATCTCTTGCATAACTACAGCTGATCGTTATAAAAGCGCGTCGTGTGGCCAAACAATATATCTTGACAAGGGGGGAAAACAAATCCCACCAACTGTCCCTCCAATATAAAGAATTCACTGGCACCTATATAAATGTTTGAGGGGATGTCTCACTAATTAACTTCCGCTGCCACCATAAACAAATGTACAGGAACACTCTAGCTATTTTAAAATATTAAAAATGCTTTCTAGACCACCAAGTACTGTGTTTTATTATTTCTTCTATAAAGGGAAGCAGGTGAGGTTGTTTGGAAAGAACTATAGCCACAAATGGCACACTTGACTCAGGCTTTTAAGTTATAAAATAATCAAAGAAAGTTTATTGATGGAAATACAGAATGAAGTAAATGCTGTTCAAAATCTTGGTGGTTACAGAGAAATTCTGGTTTGTCTTGCAAGCGTAACGGTTACATGTGAATGGTTCTTTCTTTGTTACAAATATAGAGATTTTCTTCTCCTTAAAACAAAAACCAAGTACACTTGACAGGATCTGAATCTCTGCCAAGATACAACTGTAGCTTAGCTACCCTCAACTGTGGCCTAGCTAACTACAAATTCAGCTATTTCTCCCTAAATAGCTGTACCAGTTTGCTACAGCTTCTTTTGCTGGCAAACTTAAGGCAAACTGCCTTCTCTTAACACGAACTCCTAAACTACCTTCCTACACTAATCTCTAACAACAACAGACTGACTGAAAAAGCCTCTTTCTTTCCCTCCAAACCATGCTAAACACCGCCCCCTTTTTTAAACCAATCCTGGCTGTTCTAATGCTAACTCAGGCCTAGGACACTCCCCCTCTCTAAAATGGTGTTTTCCCTGAACTAAAATGGCTACAGCTGCCCTTCTGCCAGGCTTACTAAAGCTGCAACTATCTGGCCTGCTTCTCCTAGGCCCTGCCATCCAGGCTGGCAAGGTAAGGGATCTTTACAATCGTCATGATAGAAATCAGAGATTTATACCTCGATTCTCTCCACTATTTTCCTGTGACAAAACGTATCAAGATGAACCTGCTAGACAGAAAAAAAATGTGCCAGGTATTCAGTATACATAG